AAACCAACCCAAAAAAAAAAAAGGAAAAAAAAAAGAAATAAAAGGATAGAAAATGGGAAAGAGTTATTTTTGAAACGGTCTCATTTGGAAGTGATTCCAGCTCCTCATCCCCGCTCCAGGGGGAGATTTTTATTCTTTTTCATGGATAAAGGTGGATTTTTCTGGAATTGGGGGTGTGGTTTTTCCCGGAGCCAGCAGGAATTTGGGATCGCTTTTCCCGTTTTTCCGTGGGTTCTGTTAAGGGTGGCCTCAAGAGCAGCGGGGTCAAATCCCCGTTAATCCCGTGGAAAATGGAATTGTGGGAATCCTGGGATGTGGCACTCTGGGAATGGCAGCTGGGCCTGATGTTCCCATTCCCTGGGATCCCGCTGGGATCAAATCCCCGTTAATCCCTTGGAAAATCGAGGTGTTGGAATCCTGGGATTTGGCGCTCTGGGAATGGCAGCTGGGTTTGGTGTTCCCATTCCCTGCGATCCCACTGGGATCAAAACCCCGTTAATCCCATGGAAAATGGAATGTGGAGGTGTTGGAATCCTGGGATTTGGCACTCCTAAACTCTGAGTTCCCAAACTGTCAATTCCCAAACTCTCAGTTCCCAAATTCCCAAACTCAATTCCCAAACTCTCAAACTCCCAAACTCCCAATTCCCAAATTGCCAAACTCCCAAATTGCCAAACTGCCAAACTGCCAAACTCCCAATTCCCAAACTCCCAATTCAAACTCCCAAATTGCCAAACTCCCAATTCCCAAACTCCCAATTCCCAAACTCCCAATTCCCAAACTCCCAATTGCCAAACTCCTGAATTCCCAAACTCCCAAATTGCCAAACTCCCAATTCCCAAACTCCCAATTCCCAAACTCCCAATTCCCAAACTCCCAATTCCCAAACTCCCAATTGCCAAACTCCTGAATTCCCAAACTCCCAAATTGTCAAACTCCCAATTCCCAAACTCCCAAATTGCCAAACTCCCAATTCCCAAACTCCCAAATTCCCAAACTCCCTATTCCCAAACTCCGGAATTCCCAAACTCCGGAATTCCCAAACTCCCTATTCCCAAACTCCTGAATTCCCAAACTCCGGCTCTGGGCGTCTCCGGCTCTCCAGGGATGGGATCCTTGGGATTGCGGCCGGGATTGGCCCTGGAGGGGGGCGGGGCACAGAGGGGCGGGGTCATCCTCCCATCCCACATTCCATGGGGACAATCCCTGTTTTTCCCCTCCCTCGCAGGCACTCCGGTTTGGGTTTGGAAGGTTGGGATTTGCTTGGATTTGGGGGTGGGTTTTTATTCCCGTTTTTTTCCCGGGTGGAGACCTCGGAGCTGCTCCGCAGGGACGGGAGAACGGCGGAATCCTGGGATAATCCGGCTCGGAAAGGCCCTGAAATCCCATCTCATTCCATGGGCAGCGACACCTCCCACCATCCCAGGCTGCTCCAAACCCAATCCAAGCTGGCCTCGGACATTCCAGGATCCAGGGGCAGCCACAGGGAATTCTCTGGGAATTCCATCCCAGCCCCTCCCAGCTGGGAATTCCTTCCCAATCCCTCGGATCTGCTGTGGCTTTCGGAGCCAAGGGGAGATTCCGGATTTAAGGGTGGAGGGAGAGGCTCCTGGAGCAGAATTTATGGGAATACGGGATTTTCCCAGTCGCCATCCCTGTGGAATTCCCGAGCTGAATCCAGGGAGAAGCTGCCCGAAATTCCAGCCACGCTTTTGTGGGCCTGGCCTACGGCTGTGAGATCCAGGCGGGAAAAAACCAGGATCAGGCTGGAGCTGGGAATTTCCTCCTGGTGTGGAAAATGGGAATTTCGTGGTGTGGAAAATGGGAATTTTCCTGCCATGGAAAATGGGGATTTCGTGCTGTGGAAAAGGGGAATTTTCCTGGTGTGGAAAATGGGGAATTTCCCCAGGGAAGTTTTTCCCGCTGTGGAAAATGGGAATTTTCCTGCCATGGAAAACGGGAATTTCCTGGTGTAGAAAAGGGGGAATTTCCCCAGGGAAGTTTTTCCCGCTGTGGAAAATGGGAATTTTCCTGGCCCTGTTTTCCCTGCTGTGAAAAATGGGAATTTTCCTGTTTTTTTCCCGTTTTCCCTTTTTGGAGACCCCAAAGAGCTCCTGGGCCACGCCGACTTCTCAACCCCGACTCTGAAACCCTTCCAGAAATTCCAGAAATCATTCTTTTTTAAGGAACTTAGAAGAAGAAATCATCTTGGAAAGATTTTAGGAACCACTCGGAATTTCAGGAATCCTTTCAGAAACGGTTTCCCGGAGCCGCGCTCGCGTCGTCGCGCTCCGTTCGTTTCCGTCCCGCCGCGTTTTCCCGGGAATCGCGGCCGATCCCACGGGATGCGAAGGCAAAATCAGGTTCTGGAAGGCAGCCGGTGGAGGGGGAAATAAAACGGAAATGAAATCATTTTTAAGGAATCTCCCGGGATTTCAGTAGTCGGCCGGAGGGAGGCAGAGGAGACGCGCGAATTCCTCGTATCTGATGGTTCCGTTCGGGCCGGCCGGGGCGTCCTTCAGCAGATCATCCACTGGGAAAAAACGGGAAAAATGGGAAAACAAGGGGAAAAAAATGGGAAAAAAACAGGGAAAAAATGGGGGAGAAAATGGGGGAAAACAGGAAAAAAGGGGGAAAAACAAATGGAGAGGGGAGGGGAGGGGAGGGGAGAGGAGAGGAGAAAAGAGAAAAGAGAAGAGAAGGAGAAGGGAAGGAGAAGAGAAGAGAAGAGCAGAGAAGAGAAGAGAAGAGGAGAGAAGAGAAGAGAGAAGAGAGGAAAAAGGGAGGGGAATGGAATGGAATGGAATGGAATGGAATGGAATGGAATGGAATGGAATGGAATGGAATGGAATGGAATGGAACGGAATGGGATCCAGGGGATGGGATGGGATCCAGGGGATGGGATGGGATCCAGGGGATGGGATTGATGGGATGGGATGGGATGGGAAGGGACAGGATGGGATGGAATGGAAAGGAATCCCTGTGGAATTTGGGATACCTTCCTCCTCGGAGAGCTTCTCTCCCAGCCGGGTGAGCTTGGCACGCAGCTCGGGCGCGGCGATCACTCCCCTCCTCTGCCGGTCCAGCATGGCCAGCGCCCGCAGGATCTCCTGCTCGGGCTCCTCCTGCTTCATCTGCCGGTACATGATGGTCAGGAAGGTGGAGAAGTCCAGCTCAGCGTTCCTGTCTGGAAAAGGAAGGGCAGATCCTTAGGGAATGGCTGGGGGCTGGATCTGGGACGGAGCTTCCCCTCCTCCTCCCCGGTTCCCTTTCCTGGGGTTCCTTTTCCCTTTCCTGGGTTTATTTTACCTTTCCTGAGGTTCTTTCCCCTTTTCTGAGGTTCTTTTCCCTTTCCTGAGGTTTCTTCTTCCTTTCCTGGGATTTTTCTCCCTTTCCTGGAGTTCTTTTCCTCTTCATGTTTTTTTTCCTCCCTTTCCTGGGGTTCTTTTTTCATTCCTGGGATTCTTCTCTCTTTCCTGGGATTATTTTCCCTTTTTTGGGGTTTCTTCTCCCTTCTCTGAGGTTTCTTTTCCTTTTCCTGGGGTTATTTTACCTTTTCTGGGATTCTTTTCCCTTCTCTGGGGTTTCTTTTCCCTTTCCTGTTCTTTTTTTTTTCTCCCTTTCCTGGAATTCTCCCTCCCTTGGATTTTTTCCCCCTTTCCTGGGGTTTCTTCTCCTTTTCCTGGGATTTCCCTGTCCCTGATCTGGATCAGGACACATCACCACTGGCCTTTTTCCCCTAAAACCCCGTTTACAACTCCCTCAAATCCGTGTTCCCAACCTGGATCTTGAATTTTTAATCCTCCCTGCAGCCGATCTCACAATTCCTCGGTTTTGTGCTTTATTTTTCCTACAGATCCGGGGCTGAACGTCCCCCTGCGCTCTTCCCCCTCTGCTGCTCGGCCTGGACACTCTCCCACCCTCCAAATCCACGTTCACATCTTTAATCCTGCTTTTTTCCTTGTATTTCTGGGGATTTTAACAGCACTTTTTAATCCTCGGGCTGGATTTAACACATCCCAACAGCTCCTTCCCTCCTGGCACAGAAAAATCGGGATTTTTTCCAGGAATTTCCCGTTTTTTGGTGTCTCACCGATCCTGTGCAGCTGCAGGTGTCTCTGCACCTCTCCTGGAGTGGGGCTGGCTCCCAGGCACCGCATCACCGCCAGCAGCTCCGAGCCCCTGATCTTCCCTTTTTGCTTCTTGTCGTACAGGGAAAAACATTCCTTGAACTCTAATTAAAAACCAGACCTGGCTGAGGCCTCCAGGGATCCCTGGAAGAATTCCAGCCGGGATCTCGTGTCGCCTTTCCAGGAGGGGGATGGGCGCGGGGGGGGGGGAGCAGCGGGGGAATTGAGGGTAATTAAAACCCCGAGCGGCGCTAATTGGGGCCCTCCAGCCCGAAAAGGGCTCGGATCCCGGGGATTTGGGATTTGGGATAAAAGAACTTGTCCTGCCCTGTTGGGGGTGGGACAGGGACAGAGGGGGATGAGGGAAGGGCTGAGGGATGGAGGGGGAGGGCGCCGGGAGGTGCTGGGGGTGCAGATTTTGGGGGTGGAGGAATTTGGAGGTGGGGGATTTTGGAGATGGGAGATTTTGGGGTGGAGATTTTGGGGGTGGAAGATTTTGGAGGTGGAGGAATTTGGAGGTGGGGGATTTTGGAGATGGGAGATTTTGGGGTGGAGATTTTGGGGGTGGAAGATTTTGGAGGTGGATTTTGGAGGTGGATGATTTTGGAGATGTGGGATTTTTGGGGTGGAGGATTTTGGGGTGGGAGATGCTGCAGGTGGAGATTGTGGAGGTGGGAGAGTTTGGGGTGGAAGATTTTGGGGCGGAGGATTTTGGAGATTGGGACATCTTGGGGTGGAGGATTTTGGGGCTGGGAGATGCTGGAGGTGGAGATTTTGGGGATGGAAGATTTTTGGAGACGGAACATTTTGGGGTGGGAGATTTTGGAGTTGGGAGATTTTGAGGTGGAGGATTTTAGGGTGGAAGATTCTGGGAGTGGAGGATTTTGAACGTGGGCGATGCTGGAAATGTGAGATTTTGGAGTGGAAGATCTTGGAGTGGGACATTTTGGAATGGGACATTCTGGAGGAGGAGGACCCCGAGTTCTCCCCACCCCGCTCCCTCTCCCACTCCGCCATCCCGCCGCATTCCCGCTTTTCCAGCAGCAAATCCCGGCTCGCTGCTGGCCCGGATCCGACCCGGAGCTCTCACCGCCCCTTCCCAGCCCGTTCCCGATCCCGGAACGGGGGTCCCGGGGCTGTCCTGGGGGTGTCCGGGAGATCCCGGGGGTGTCCGGAGCTGTGCCGGGGGTGTCCCGGGGGTGTCCGGGGGGTCCGGGAATGTCCGGGAATGTCCCGAGGATGTCCGGGAGTGTCCCGGGAGTGTCCCAGGGCTGTCCCGGGAGTGTCCCGGGAGTGTCCCAGGGCTGTCCCGGGAGTGTCCCGGGAGTGTCCCGGGGGTGTCCCGGGGGTGTCCGGGGCTGTCCCGGGGGATCCCGGGGGTATCCGTGGCCCCTCCTGTCCCGGCCGCCTCCTCCTCCTCCCCTCTCCAATCCGCGCTGATCAGATTTGCAATAATACCCTTATTAATACTCTTATTAATACTCTTATTAATAACTCTTATTCCTGCTTCCTTCGGCCATTCCCGGAGCGATCCCAGCGCCGGGATTGGCTCGCGATGGGAATTTGGATCCCCTGCCCCGCCTCCTTCCTCCTCCTCCTCCTCCTCCTCCGGGACCGGGACCGGGACCGGGACCGGACCCCGGGAATTTCTGCTGTTCCCGGCGGGATTTGGGTTTTTGGATCAGGGAATTTGCGGAGATTTTTTCCCCGTTTTCCCAGATCCCGGCAGAGCCACAACAAACCCAGACCGCGACTTGGCGGAGGGAAAATGATCATTTTTCTCGAAAGGTCAATTTAATCCCGCTAATTAACCCCGAGCGGAACGAAGCCGAACCTACCGTGAATTTGATCCTGCGACAGAAACTTCGCCTGGAGCAGGGAGGGAGACAGAAAAAAAGAGAGAAAAAAGGGGGGAAAAAAACTCAAAAAATAGCTTTACAATGAGGTTTGGGAGGCGCGCAGAGCGCGAGCAGCCGCACTCACCATGGTTTTGGGGAGGATTTTTGGGATTTGAGGTTCCCGGCAGGAGCGGAGGCCGCTCGGGGTTTGCTCAGGGCTGAAGTCCCCGGGTGAGGCTGTAATAAAATCCCGCTGCTATGGATACGGCTCAGCCCGGCCCCGCCTGCTCCCGGGGAAAAAAAAAGGGATTTTCCAAAGCTCGGGAGTGGGAAAGATCGAGCTGTGACCTCCTTAGAGCTGGCAGAGCTCGGGATCCGGGCGCGAGTTTTGGAATTCCAAAAAAATCTGTTTGTCATTGGGAAAAAATCGAGGTTTTTTTTAATTGTTTCATTGTTTAATTTGAATTTTTTTTAATTTTGTAGAGATTTTTCTGAATATAGATATATTTATTAGTATATTAATAAATTTATAATAAATATATTATTTATATGAACGTAATTAACGTTATATAATTAATAGAATATTTAATATTTACTGTATTGTATTCATTATTTTTATATATTCTATTCTATTCTATTCTATTCGTCTTGTTTTATATTATTTTCATTTATATGTATTTTATTTATATGTATTTATTTTATATTAATTTGTATGTATTTTATTTTGTATTATATTAATTTTATGACATTATTTTATATTTATTTTATATTATTTTATATGTATTTTATATTATTTTATATGTATTTTATTTTATATAATACTAATCTATATGACATTGTTTTATATTTATTTTACATTATTTTATCTTAATTTTATTTTATATAACACAAATTTATATATTATTTTATATTTATTTTATATTTTATCTTAATTTTATTTTATATAATACTAATTTATATGACATTATTTTATATTTATTTTATATTATTTTATCTTAATTTTATTTTATATAATACCAATTTATATGATATTATTTTATATTTATTTTATATTATTTTATCTTCATTTTATTTTATATAATACCAATTTATATATTATTTTATATTTATTTTATATTTTATCTTCAATTTATTTTATATAATACCCATTTATATATTATTTTATATTTATTTTATATTTTATCTTCATTTTATTTTATATCATACTCATTTATATATTATTTTATATTTATTTTATATTTTATCTTCATTTTATTTTGCATCATATTAATTATAATCTCATCACACAGCCACCTCCTCTCGGGGATTTATTGGAAACTCATGGATCTACATTAAAAAAACCCCTAAATCTCTTTTTTCCCCTTTCCCAGCCCCCAGGAACGGCGAGCCCGGCTCAGGAGGCGCCCTGGTGCAGGTTGTTCATGTGCAGGGTGTAGAAGGCCCAGGGCTCGGGGATGTAAATCACCCCGGGGTATTTTTTCCGCAGGATTTTGTCGTTCCAGAGCCAGCCCACCCAGGCGGCGATGAGGAGCAGGGTGATGATGAAGGAGAGGAAGAGGAAGAGCCCGTTGCTGTCCAGCACCAGCCCCTTCCGCCGCTGGTGCATCACCAGCGCCATCATGGCGAAGAAGGTGAAGATGTAGAGGATGAAGATCTGCCCCTCCGTCACCAGGTACCTGCAAGGGAAATTCCTGCGGGAATTCCTGATCCTGGGAAGGCTGGAGAGCGTTCCCAGCTTCTCCTGGGAGCAGTGGTGATCCTGGGATGTCCTGGGTGGCCCTGGGGCTGTTCTGAGTGACCTTGGAGATGTCCTGGGTGGCCCTGGAGCTGTCCTGAGTCACCCTGGGATTGTCGTGGGTGACCTTGGAGATGTCCTGGATGGCTCAGGGTGGCCCTGGGATTGTCCTGGGTGCCCCTGGAATTGTCCTGGGTGGCCCTGGGATTGTCCTGGGTGCCCCTGGAATTGTCCTGGGTGGCCCTGGGGATGTCCTGGATGACCCTGGGGATGTCCTGAGTGACCTTAGAGATGTCCTGGGTGCCCCTGGGTGGTCCTGGATGGCCTGGGATTGTCCTGGATGGCCTGGAATTGTCCTGGGTGCCCCTAGGATTGTCCTGGGTGCCCCTGGGATTGTCCTGGTTGGTCCTGGCTAACCCTGGGATTGTCCTGGATGACCCTGGGTGGTCCTGGATGGCCTGGAATTGGCTTGGGTGGCCCTGGGATTGTCCTGGGTGGCCCTGGAGCTGTCCTGAGTCACCCTGGGATTGTCCTGGGTGGCCCTGAGACTGTCCTGGGTGGCCTGGGATTGTCCTGGGTGGTCCTGGCTAACCCTGGGATTGTCCTGGGTGGTCCTGGGGCTGTCCTGGGTGGCCTGGGATTGTCCTGGGTGGTCCTGGATGACTCTGGGATTGTCCTGGATGACTCTGGGTGGTCCTGGACGGCCTGGAATTGTCCTGGGTGCCCCTGGAATTGTCCTGGGTGCCCCTGGGATTGTCCTGGGTGCCCCTGGATCTGTCCCAGCTTCCAGGGATTCAAGTGGCTCCAAACTTCCAGGAGGTTTCATTTGATTTCCCAGCCCCGCCGAGCAAAAGCCGCCCTGGGGATCCCTGGGGAACGGGAGCAGCTCTTCCCGGAGCATTCCCAGGGAATTCCCAGGGAATTCCCGGCTCAGCCCCAGGCACGGGGGGCACTCACCAGTAGTAGAGGCTGCTGGGCCCCACCAGGAGCAGGGCAGCCAGGGGCATCCGGCCCCGCCGCGCCGCCGGCGTGAAGCAGCCGGTGAAGTAAATGAACAGGATCAGGAAAAATGGGATGTACCTGCGGAAAACAGCAATTCCCAAAGCTGGGAAAGGCTGGGAGCTGCCCCAAAGCCCCTGAGCTGGTCCTGCCCTCAACCCGGGGCTTCAGCAGAATTCCCTGCTCCCAGATTCCTGCTGCATCCACAGGGAACAGGGGCTGGTGGGGGCAGGAGAATTCCCAACCTCCAGCAGGAGAATTCCCAACCTTGGGAATTTCCAACCTCCAGCAGGAGAATTCCCAACCTTGGGAATTTCCAGCCTCCAGCAGGAGAATTCCCAACCTTGGGAATTTCCAACCTCCAGCAGGAGAATTCCCAACCTTGGGCAATTCCCAGCCTCAGGCAGGAGAATTCCAAGCCTTGAGCAGGACAATTCCAAACCTTGGGGAATTCCCAATCTCAGGCAGGACAATTCCAAACCTTGGGGAATTCCCAGTCTCAGGCAGGAGAATTCCCACTCCAGAACCTTCTGGAAGGCCAAGCTGTCCCTCCAAGAGCTGCCACATCCCCGAGCCATCCCAGAGCAGAGGAGATCCCCGGATCCACCCTGACCTGGATCCCAATCCAACCCCGGGCAGCAGAACCCGATCCTGGGGCAGCTCTGGCTCCGGAGCTCTCCCGCCCTTCCCTCTCCTCGCAGGGAACATCCCGGGAACATCCCGGGAATCACTCACCACATGGAGTGCCCCAGGTACTCGTCGTAGTAGTAGAGCAGCTCGAAGGAGTCGATCTGCGCCAGCGGCGGGACGGAAACAAACCCGAGTTACCATCGGTCCTAAATCCTGGTTTTAACCATCCCTGAGTCTGGCTCAACCTGGGGTTTATCATTCATAAATCCTGGTTTTAACCATCCCTGAGTCTGGCTCAACCTGGGGTTTATCACTCATAAATCCTGGTTTTAACCATCCCTGAGCCCGGCTCAGCCCGTACCAGTGTCTGTGGCCACAGGCTCCTTTCCCATTTCCCATTTCCTATTTCCCATTCCCCATTCCCCATTTTCCAATCCCACATTTCCCATTCCCAATCCCAGATTTCCCATCCCGTACCAGGGTCTGCGGGCGCAGGTCGCGGATGACGGGGTTCTCGCGCACGGACAGGTGGTGCTGGTACCAGATTTACCCATTCCTGTACCAGCATCTGTAGGTTCCTGTCCCATTCCCCATTTCCCATTCCCCATTTCCCATTTCCCAATCCCAGTTTTCCCGGATTTCCCATCCCGTACCAGGGTCTGCGGGCGCAGGTTGCGGATGACGGGGTTCTCGCGCACGGACAGGTGGTGCTGGTACCCGCTGAAGATCAGCCGGTGGTTGACAGAGTCCCCCACCAGGTGGATGCTGGCGCCCATCACGAAGGTGATGATGCTGACGTGGACCATGGAGCGAGGGAGAGTCCGGGGGGAGCGCTCGATCAGCTGGGGAGGGGAGGAGGAGGAAGAGGAAGGGGAGGAGGAAGAAAAGAAGAGGTGGGGGATGAGTAAGAGGAGGAGGAGGAGGAATAGGAAGAGGAAGGGGGGAAGGAGGAGGAAGAGGAGAAGGGAAGGAAGAGGAGGAGGAGGGAAGGAGGAGGAGGAGGAAAAGGGGGAGGAAGAGGGGGGAAGGAGGAGGAAGAGAAGGAGGAAGGGGAGGAGGGGGAAGAAGAGGAGGAGGAGGAGAAGGAAGAGGAGAAGGAGAGGAGGAGGGGAGGAAGAGGAGGAGGAGGGGGAGGAAGAAGAGGAGGAGGAGGAGAATAAGAGGAGGAGAGTGGGAGGAGGAGGAGGAAGAGGAGGA